TGTTCATGTTAGCTGTGTTTGTAGAAGCATTGAATACAAAAAGTCATGTACAGATGGTTTTATTTTGTTTTTTGTTTTTTGGGTTTTTTGGCCTGAAAAAATGATCTTGATGACTGATGACTTATAAACAAATAGTTTATCTTCTCAGTTGTAAACCATCCATTTAGAAACACAAAAGTGGATTTCCATTCCTATTATGCCTGGACAAGAGATACTAATTCTGTTATTCATTAAGACAGCCTGCCATTTTAACTTGTGTGAAATGTCTTTTGAAATCAATTGGATTGTATAGTATTACCTCTTACATACATGAAACCTTCAGCTCAACATAGAGTTTGTGAAATAATGTGACATTTTCTGTAAGCAGGCTTCTTGGTGATATATTACCTTTTAATCAGTTGCTTCCCAGACCACCACCCCAAATACATAGTTGAGTCTTCAGCCTCCAAAGAAAAGTACAGGAATTCTAAGCTAAAAACCTCTCTTGTTTTAGCTTGGAAATATGTTCCATATTTTTAAAGTGATATATTAATAAGCAGCATGGAAAAGATGTATTTTTTAAACATTAATTCTTGTAAATTAGAAGTACTTAGTGGCCAGAAATTAAAATCTCCTTGTTAAAGATCTTCAAATCTAGAATTGGGCTGGAAATTAGACTAAGAAGAACAATACAACTTCACCCAGAGCCTGCAGAACCTTGTCTTTCCAGGCCTGCTCCTCAGCACTGCAGAGAGCTGCTGCCCTCTGAGGGCAGCACCTGCACTGAAAGGATGCTAACAGCACCAGCTTACTTGAAGGCTGAAGTATTATTAACCTTTATGGGACTTTGATGGCATTGCTTTTTGTCATTAAAAAGATGCTTATCCCAAAACATTAGGAACTTAATAAAGTAAAGAAGGAAAGCCCTTGTTAATGATACCTCTTCAATTGCTTTCTCCTAACCTCTGTTAGCAGACATGCTAAAGACTAGAAAAAGGTAAATTAAAAAAAAAAAAAAAGTTATTAGAAACATTCTCCTTTTCTCCTACCACTTCGAATATAGGAATGACCAGGTTGCGTATATTCCTTAAACATTACCCTTTTCTAGATGGTCTGAAAATAATTCTGCTGATAAGTATTTTTAAACCTGAACTAGAGATATAAGATGGTGACCAGCAGCTACGGAGAACTGCCTTGTTCAGGTCATTGAAAATTTCATCCCTAAATCTTAACTGGACTTTTCAAGCTCATTAGGCACCACTATATATGGCGTGTTTTCATACCATGGAGAGCTGCTTTTTTCTAATGCACTTTTTATAAGGCCATAATTAAGCCCACACTCAAAAAGGATGAGCAAACTTTTCAAAGGCTCAAAGCACAACCAAAAAAAAAATTGTCAAATGAACATAAATGTAAATAAGGCTTAGTGTTTGAAATGATATGCCTTATCATACTTAAACAGATGTCTCAAAAAACAAAATTTAAAAACCCGTTGTTTCCATAAACACCACCCAATATTCAGAAGTTTTATACCCCAATGTTTCTGATGAGACTCTTTCCCTTAGGGTATGAAAGAAAAAAAAAAAACAAAAACATCTTATTGGATACTTTTCTTTCCTTTACCCCCACTTCTGTGGTATTGTGGGCCTAAACTGTGTCTAAATTTCTAAGTGAAAGATGGGAATCACAAGGCCTTCTGAAAAGGTAGGTGAAGTATTAAAGCAGTGCTGTTAGGGTGTCAGTTCTCAGATCTCTTTTAACATGATCGTTTTAGGTTATTGTTGGGCTGTTTTATTTGCAGTCTTCCTCATTCCTCTCAGATCCCCTAATTTACTGTTTGTCCTATCAATATGGACTTTTTTTTATACAAGTAATTATCTGGTCCTAGGTTTGGTACATGTGTTACCACCTTGTGAATAAATAATGAACTACTGAACAAGTACAGTTGTAGAATTATGTTGTATGTATGTACATATGGAGAAAGAATGTATTTTGTTCATTTTCTTAATAAAAATTATATATAAACAATACAAAATGTGGTAAAACTACTTTGAAATCAGCTTTTTTGAGTGTTTATGTTTATACTTCTTCCTCAAAAGTTGAGTTTTAATTCAGATTTCCCCAGACGTTTTCTTTTGAGACATAGCTTGAGGAAGTACCAGTGGATCTCACAGTTCCTGAAGGAAATTTTCATTTTAAATGCGCACTAACATTGTTTCATGAATAACTGCTGTTAACAGCCACTCTTATTTCATCCGTCTTGTGAAGTTGAACTTGTCCCCCAAGTTCTCTTTTAGGGGTACATACTTGTACTACATAGGAACTACAAGAAAACAGAGGACTGAAATAGAAAGTTATAGAAAAGATACTGTAAGGACCTGACATGAAAAAAAAAAAAGTGAAGTATGCCAGATAAAGGCAGTGAACTAGAGGGTCAAGTTGTGTGCACTGTCTAAATGGACATGAAGATCACTCTTGTCATCCCCTCATCTGCTTCACTTGTGTTATGATCCTGCACTGTGGGGCGAGTTGTCAGTTATGTATTCAAAATTGGGCCTGTTTCTTAGATGTACATAGCTCATGTCTTACTGCACACCTTTAATTTCTAAAGTGTGCTCAAATCTTACATTTCTGAGCTTTGAGTGTGCCTCAGTGAGGTTTCTTTGTGTCCTCAAAACAGGAAAACAAACATGAGGTTTGGTGATAAGGAATTGGCCTTTCCATGGTTAATCCTCTAGAGAATTAAAGAGATCAAAACATGGAACACCACTTTGACATATTTGTCATTATCTTCTGTCCAGAAGACAGCAGTTGGCAAAGAAAGCTTGCTTGAGATGCAGCCACTCACTGGAGTGAGTGTGGAGACTCATAACGATTGAAGTTGCTATTTTATGGCTACATGTGCCCAGGTTCGTGTAGTTTCTCAATGATAGCCAGGGAGTTCATAGAAATTGGAAAACAGTACTCTTCCTGGAGAAGAAGCCAACATTCTTGACCACCCATCCTTCAGATTCTACACATCTGTGACTGGGAAGGTCAACTAGAGGATTTCTGGAGGCCTGTACTAGTTCTGTGCAAGTTTAGACACTAAGTGATGATGTTTGCTCTTCGTTTAGCACCATGTCCTGTGCTGCATCTTCCTAGGCCTGCTAGGTATCTTGAAAGGACAAAAGACAGTCTGGATTTTTTGTGACAGAGAATAACAGCAGAGCATCATACTTAGAGATACCCAACTATTTCTGATCCACAGCATCTCTGATAACATGAGACTGTTAGTCCAGGGAGTTGGTTGTCCTTGCCAGAGACATATCAAAGGAACAGAAGAAAAACTTAGCTGAAAATGGCCTGTATTGGTAAGTTTTGACCAAACCCCAAAAGGAGAGATGATGACAATTGGCGTCCTCGTAGAGCTGCCCTCTCAACTTGGGCAGTAGTCTGAACAGTCCAGGGGCTAAGTATCCTGATTTTTATCTGCATAGCCAACAACTGTATAGCATTGAGGCATCTCAATTCTGCAAGTATGTGTTGGCAACAGGTTTGCTAATCTACAAAATGTGAAGACCTTTGAAAAATGTGATCTCAGTATTTATCACTTCTGTAGCCAGTCCTACTTATTTTTCCCTTCAGTGTATTGAAGTAGCAAGTGATCTGGGAGGTAATGTATAGAATAGGAAAGTTTTGAATGACAAAAGAGGCACAAAATTTAAAATACTAACCAAGAGCATCTTAAGGTTAGCAGGGGAACAGGGTCTATGACCCACAAAGGAAGAGAACAGAGTTAGATTTAATTTGTGGACCCAAGACAAAATGTGAGTCATTTTTAGAACAGTGTGCCAGGGTCCTGCATGAGTTCCTAGCATGTGGACTCCTTTCTGCATTCCTGGTACATTTGTGAAGCTAATCTCAATACCCAGGCCCAACTCTGACCTACCTTTCAGGATGTTAGCTGCCTTTCAGAATTCCAAGATGAAATGAAAATCATAAGTCATTCCATCTTAAAAATGAATTTTATGGATAGCTCCTGAGCATGAATGTACAGAAAAGAATGTAGGACTACACAGAGAAAAGATCAAGTTGAAGCCCAAGATTACCATTACATCCTAGTTTCCTTTATAAGGTAGCAACATCATCCTATAAACTGTGAACATGTTCTGTAAACTGTAAGGTGGGGGAAAATAGAAGAAACTTGTCTAACAATCAAAATGTGGGCCTGATCTCCAAGACAGTTGTTTCCCTCTTTCCTGCAAACTTGGAAAAATGGAGCTGTAAATACTACCACCTCAGGAGAGATGAAAAGGATCAAAATCATCGGAGCTTACCCCACAATATGGACCAAAACCAGGCAGAAAGCCACTGTGACAGGTAACTAGATCCTTTTGTGAGGAGAAATGTCCAGAACAGAACATTTCTGGCTTTTGTATTTTTATCTGTGTATACTTTTTGGTCAGTGTTTTCATACCTGATCAGGACTCAGCAGCCCCTGTGGGGTCTCTGTGGTGATGACTCACAGATGTGTCAGAAGTAGAGGGGAGGAAAAGTGGAAACATTTATGAAACAGCATCTTGGGGAGAAGCTATTACTGCCTCATAATTACACTCCTTAGGGCAATGATGGCAAACCTTTCTTTCAGTGATTACAGCCAGCTGTGGTACGTGTGTCATGTTCACCACCACTGTGGGCCAACGCATCTGGAATAATGTGAAGTATCAGGACTTCCAGGGTCCTCCCCCACCCAACTTCTGTGGGCATCTCTCCACCTTATGTTATAGGTCAACAGATATTTCTCTTTTTTTTTTTTTTTTGTCTTTTTCATTTTTATCGATACCAGGGATCGAACTCACGACTGCCTGCTTGCAAGGCAGGCACTTATGCCACTGAGCTAAATCCCCAGCCCCTCAGCAGATATTTCTGAGAGCACAGTATTCCTCACACATGGAGCTGGGGACATGTCTGATGTACTTGGAGAGTGTACAGGTGAAGAACTAAAGCTATTCAGAACAAATTACTAGGACTTGAGCCAGTTTATACAACAGCATTTTAATTGACAGTATAGTTTTCCAAAATATATTTTTGTAAGAAAATGCAATAATTAACTATAGTCTTTACAAACACGTTTCTCAATAAATTCCAGTGTACTTCAGACTCCTGTCCATTAAGACACATGCTCCCCCAGTCTCCTGGGCAAACTGTTTATCATTCAGTAACACCCCACCACCTCCACCATTAAATAGTAATCCCTTTAACCTGGTGTTGAGTGTTTAGCAGACCTGAAGGAATCTGCTAGCAACAATGAAACCAGATAGGCTACAGTTTTATTCATAAGACCTCTCTGCCTTCTGTCTTGTTCCCTTTGATCCTTAATCTGCTAGAAGTTCCAGAAGCAAAAGCTGGCTCAAAACTATTTCCTGGCAGAAAAGACATTAATGTACATTTTCAACCTAAACGCCTCAGAGGAAGTATAGACCAGTAAGATCCCCCTGTCTACTTTGCAGTTCTCGCTGGCCTTGCTGGTGGAACTCTCGGGAAAGAATAGCAATTTTCATGTTATCCTGGTGCCTGTGAGTGGCAGAACTTAGTTTCCTGATTCTTGGAATCTTTGGAGGCCAGGTTTTAATCCTGTTTGTCACTGACCATGTCATTTTATCCAAATCACTACCTTTGTGACCTTAAAGTTCTTTTCCTGTCTCACTTTCCAACTAGTGCTTACCAATCCCAATGTTCCCTGGTATGGGACTGGAAGTTGGCTGGGGATGAGCATGGATAATTTAAAAATAAAAATGCTTAATCTGCAAGACAAATACTTTGTCATCTGCTTGTCTTGTAGTTCATTTTTAAAAACAAAATCAAACACTTTCTAGTAAGATAAACATTTACATTCTTGTTCAGAGGGGAAAAAACTTTCTTAACTAATAAATGTTTTTTTGAAGTATATTCACTAAAAGCAGTGCATAATACATTAACGTGACTGTTGTATTTACATTGTCAAAATATGTATCAGTTTGAATTTGTTCTTCAAAGTTTCTCCAGTGTATTGTCCAAAAAAGAAAAAAAAAAGAGATAAATCTCAAAAGGTATTTTAAATAAACCTGCTCATTTTCCTTATCAAGAAAGGGTAAATCTGGTGTCTCCAGATCAACCCCTATTGTCTTAAGATGCATGCTCCTCTGTACCTCCATAAGCACAGTGGCTTCTTTCCTCACTCTCAGTGCCCACAGGTTTCATTCATTCAAAGTCATCAGATCCATGGTTTTTGTGGCTTTGAGATCATCAGATTCATGGTTTCTACAGCTTGGGGAAACCACAGTTTGATACTGAAATAAAGAGTTTCTAACTTCTCTTTGATACAACTAGTTTAAAGTCTTGCTGAGCTGAGCCCCTAATGTTCTTTTCTTGGCTCCATGATCAGAGAACCCAATAAAGATGTGGGAAGATGATTTACAGGTGCTACTAGTGTGGCCTATTGACACAGATGTACCAGCAGCAACAGAAAGCCAAGGCCTAGTATCATATTCTGAAGTTGCTCTAAAGGCAGCACAATTTGGATGCAGAGAAAGAAGGAACCTCTGGATCAGCTCAAAGCCTCTCTGGCTTCTTCCTGGACAGAGCCATGGTGATTCCTCCTGACCATCATTTTTCCTCCCTGGTACCTACAGTCATCATCTCTATCAGAGAGCCCTTGGGGTTGCAGTGCCTGATCATTTTGCAGAAGCAATATTTGTTATTACTGTCAAATGCCCTAGCTGGTCAATATGACCCAGAGTCTGCAAAGGAGCAATAACCTCACCTTTTACAGAGACACCATGACAAACACACTGGGTAGACAAAAGCCAAGCGTGGGCAGGAAGGAAACAAGAAGACCTCTTTCCAAAATAAAAATATTTCCTGTATTTTCCCTTAAACTGGCACTGTTCAGCCTTCCCCAACCACAAATGCTAGAGAAACAGGGCAGATGTTGGTCTACTAAGCATCTAATTCTTGAGAACTTTCTGGGGCCCCTCCTTGTTTCTGTGACTGTCCTGTTCCCCTATGGTAAGCTACAGACTGTAAAGAAGGAATCAGGCCGTCTCCTTCTACCTTTTCATTTGTTAAATAAATTGTGCCAAGGCAGACAGTTGGTTCCAGGAATTTATATCCAAGAACAATACAGAGCATAGTGAAAGGTTCAAAATTGTATGCATGACCGCTCCTTTTCAGAAATCGAAATGACCCTTCACTATGTCTAGCTCTCAGGAACCTTCTATAGTTAGCTAACTTCTGAGCCTATAAAAACCATGTTGAGGAGTAGACATAGCTTTGTGTTTCCCTGAGACGCCACCAGAAACAGGAAAACTATTAAGGTTGCAGATTAAAATAGCAAGGCCTAGCTCCACGCAGGACAGTAGGAAACTACAGAGTTTTAAAAACTCACTGCATGTTCTGGGCTGTTCTTGTGGCACAGCACAATCAGAATTAGTGAGACTGATTGGAAGCCTTCAGTAGTTTTGAGTTTTGACCTTTGGCAGTGGAGGGCTAGATTAAAAACAATAACAAAAACAAAAATCTAAACAAATACAACAAAACTCTCAGCAACTTGAAAAGTCCCTGAGTTTCCTATGAAACAGAGATACACCTGTCTTCCAGCACTTTCAACTGATTGTCTACTGAAACACAGCTCTGTCAGTCAGGGGCCCTTGGACAGGACTGTCCTGTGACCACTACTCTTGACACCTGGGCATCAGGGGTCCATTCCATCAGCCAGCAGTGAAGAAAAGAAACATTTCAGTTGCTATTGCAGATTTCTGTCCCTGGTGGAAACAGAGGATCAAAGATCTTAGGGGACACTTTCAAGGACAGGCTTGGGGGAAGGGCCAGTGTGAGTACTAAGCCCGGATCAGCTGCCATGGGGAGGCCATCCTGGGATGAGATGCTCCCCTTCTCTCTGCACACCTACTAATTCCTCCTGCAGGTCTCATTCACTTTGGGGGAAGAAGAGGTGCTGACCTCGTCAAGCAAGGAGATCAGAATCCAGAACAGGGGCTTCAAGATCACAAATGACCTGTGTTATTCCTAGGGGTACTGGGTCACAGTGCGACTCAAAGTTGAGTGAAAGGTTTGTAAAGGGAAAGGGGAGGGGAATACTTGCAGACAGGAGGATTGGGATAGGAAATGGAAGCTTGAGGCTTGTCCTTTCGCAGTCAGATCCCCTGAGACAGGGTACAGGCCTGCTTTCCTTTTCAGCCTACCTTCCCTACTGGGGTGTCACCCGATGCCCAGCCAGGGAAGTTCTACGGAGAGGGTACAAATGAACACAGCAGTGTAACATGGTCCAAATGAGCACTGGGCTGAAGGGAAGAATGTCTGTCACCAAGTGGCTGTGTGACCTTGTGCAGCCAGTTGCCTTTCTTAGGCCTCAGTCATCTCACCTGCAAAATGAAAATTTCTACTAGAAGATTCCTAAAGTCCCTCCCATGGCTCTTTCTCCATCTCCCTTCTGCTCATCCTCCTGTTCACCAGCAACTCTGAGCTCAGGCACTAGTGGATTATTTTACAAGAAGAATCTAGACAGAATGTGATTTGTTCATCTCGAAAGGGGGAAAAAATTAAGGCCCTGGGGGACTTGAAAGGAGGTAACCCTTGGAGTCCACTCCCTCCTGTCTTTCCTTCTTTGAATGGGGAGGCATTTTCTTCCCCAGCCCAAATGGCACTTCGGGTGGTCAGTCTGCAGCTCTGTGGCACTGATGGAGACAGCCAACAGACCGGCTTAGAGGTGCGTGTCTTCCTCCTCGTCGAGGTCATCCTTGGACAGGTTGTCCAGAGGGACGATCCAGCTATCCCCAAGCTCCCCATTAAGGTTGACCACCTTCTTCTCCTGCATCTCGGAAGAGGTCTCCATCACTTCCAAGGTCGGGTTATCATGGTAACCATTTTCCACTGTCTGAAGTTCCTCAGTAAGTCGTTGCTAGATTGAGGAAAATGATCAAGGGAAAAAAGTTAATTTTGGATGGTTATGAGTCTTACACAAAATACAGTCTTAATATAAAATATATAGCCCCGCTTTCAACCCAGGGATCCCAATTTATCTAACAATAAGCAAGCACTTATTGTTCAGATGTGGGGGTTGGCTGCTCCTGGAGCCCACTGGCTGCTGGCCTGCCTACCTCATACAAGGACTTGACCCTCCTCCTAAAATTCCCAACTGGTTTCACATTTACCATCTGTGCCATCTCTGAAGTTGAACTTCATTCTCACAAGCTCCCTTAGCACTTTCTTTTCTCCTCCATTCCTTTTCCAAAGCCTTAGGCTCCTACCTCACTCCGTAGTATGGGAATGGGCAAGACTTAGGAAAAAATGACATTGCTCAGGCTGGGTCACTGAGGACCTCTCCAAGTCTGGACAAGGTAAGAAAGGTGGTCCCCATGGCTGTTCGTTCCTGCTGGAGGCAGCACCCATCAGATATTCTCTGAGATTCAACCTTTGCTTGCATGTTAGGATCACCTGAGGGCTTTTAACACATACACTGATCCAGAGATCGGGTTCCCGTTGGCGTGTGAGGAAGCTAGGCATGGGAATGTCCTTACAGCTCCTGCTAGTGCGCAGCCAGGGTTGAGAACCAGGGATCTGGGTAGAACTGTCAAGATGGGAGTTCTAGTAAGGCAGGTGAGAGGTTTCAATTAGACAGGCACACACAGGGCCATTTGTATCCAGGACTTTGCAGGGAAACTCTGCAAGGTGGCCGTTATCCCCCTCTGCAGTAAGAGGCTCAGAGATTTATGACACTCTCAAGGTCACACAAAGAACAAAGGCAGAGCCAGGGCTTACGCCCTGTCTTTCTGCTCCAAAATCCTATTCATCCCTCTAGAAATATATCCTCTTTGATAAACCAGGCATCAAGTAATTGCCATAAAAGGGGTGTTGGTGGTTTGGATCAAAAATGTCTCCAAAATGCTCCTGTGTTTACAGTCGGGCTTCTGGAGGGTGACTGGATTGGGAAGGCCCTAACTTAATTAACTCACTGACGAATTTAAAGCCGAATGGGCTACTGGGACAGAGGGTCTGGTTGGAGGAAATAGGTCATGAAGCATGCCTTCGAAGGGTGCATCTCTCTCTGGCTCTTCCTCTCTGGTTTCTGGGCCCCCATGAGTTGAACAGCTTTGCTATGCCACACCCTTCCACCATATTGTTTCTGCCTTGGAGCCAGCCAACTGTGGACTAAAACCTCTGAAATCTGAGCCAAACTACGAAACCCCTTCTCCTGTAAATTGTGAATGCCAGGTATTTTTGTCCTAGCAATGCAAAAGTTACAGGCGGGGTCTGCCTGCCAGAAAGGCCCCAGTCCACCCACTTTCCTCTGCTGCACTATGGAGTAACAGAACGGCCGCTGCCTCAGCTGGAGCAGGAAGAGCCCACCTGATCCTTCCTCTGAGAGAAGCGCTGGTGGCAGCAGCCATAGAGCGCTGCAACGAGAAGCAAGAAGGATGCCATGCAGACAATGGTGATGATGAGGGGCATACTGTAGCGGTCCTCAGTCACTTCTGGTGGACCATCATTCCCCAGCCTCATGTCACTGACTCCCAACTGGCCAGAAAAAAGTTATTTAGTGAAAATGCAGGTTGGTCTCCAAGCTCCCATTCACTTGTGAGTTATTCTATATGGGGTCTGTTGCCACCACCCCACTCTTGGTGGCCCAAGGGCTCTTTCATCGGTAGGGGACAATGGACTTCCAGCAGAGGCTCCTGACCCACTCCTCCCAGCACACAGTGGGGCCCATTTACCTCTCCTAGTTCATCCCATTGGTCCTTCAGTGATTCATACACATCGCTGGGAGGAAGATTTGCTGTGGGAAAGAGGAAAAGCTGTACCTCCAGAGCTGAGCTCTGAGTGACATGAGGTTGGAGGTGGGCCCCAGGGAGAGGATATACTTACAGTTCACAATCTCTTTGGTGGCCCTTGGGAAGCACATAGCTTGACCCTGCTGAGGACTTTGGGTGGCACTGCCTGTCCCTTCCTCCAGTGAGGTGGCAGGCTCTTGCCTACCTCTTCCCACCCATACAAGTGTGGGACTCCTGCCCCAAACTCACTCAGAATGCTGATGTGTTTGACAGCCACCGCATTGCTATAGGGAACAGGTCCTAGCTGTACAGTGCAATCATCTTGACTAGGGTTGAAGTTGTCTTTGACTGCTCGGCACAGCACTGTGACCAGCTTCTCGTCAAGGAGATCCTCATTCTATTGTAAAGAGAACACAGATGATTCCTGAGGCGTCATGGCAGCAGCCCAGGCTCAGGGAGCTCTCCTGGTCACTTCCTCCCTCCACACTTTGCACGTGCCATGCCCCACCCTGCCAGGAGTCGAGTTCTGCCCTGGGCAGTCCTGGCTGGCTCTCTACACCTTCCAGCTTTCATCTTGCCTATGGCGCATGGTGCCTTTCCCTTTAGTGCCACTTTCCTCCCTCCAATCTTTTTGCAAATCAAGAGTTGGTGGTCTGTACCACGGTCTCCCCCAAGACTGCACAGCACCTCATCAGTGAGTGGCGGGTAGGAGTTAGGAGGATTCAACGCCCTGTCGAACTGCACAGAACCGAGACCTCAGGAATGGGGGACCACAGCTCCCAGAAGGCTGACCCTCTGCCCGTTACTAGGCTAGGACACTGAGGCCACAATCAGACTGTCAAGGAAGGCCAAGTACCACTGCACAGAGCAAAATAGGGATCCTGAAAATGCATAGGAATTGCTTTATATTCAGTACAATGACAAAATGTGGTCCACGTTTAGATTTTTAAGATAAGTAATGTCAGATTGACTCAAGCATTACTATTTATTTATTTATGTGCCAGGGATCAAACTTACAACCCTCACTTGCCAAGTAGGCGCTTGTGCCACTGAGCTAAATCCCCAGCCCAAGGTCCAAATTTTTAAAAATTTTATTACAGTAAAAGATACACCGCCATTCATCCCACCCCTCCTTCCTTTGAAGACACTCATCCCATCATTCTTGCCGCTTCCTGAAGTAGTACTAGAAACCTTCATGAGTGTCTTCTGTGGTGTTGCCTTGCTAATGGCTGCCTCAAAGACCTCAACTGGTTAAAAATGTTCCCTTCTCGTAGTCCTTTCCACTTTGGAAGAGGCAGAAGTGCCAGGGTGCCAGACCCAGTAAATAAGGCGTCCGAGGGCACCGACATGTTTTGTGAACCTGACTTTTCACTCACGTCACCTGGTAGATGCCGTCCCTCTATGTTTGGTCACACAGTTAAGGTCCTCAGAAAAGACTTCCGGAACTACTTCAGAAAGCGGCAAGAAGAACGGGCTAAGTGTGTTTAAAGCAAGCGGGAGTATTTTAAGGAAGATTAATGACAAATGGCTTCTTACTGTAATAACGTAGAAGAATTGAAGGTTCACTGGATAGTGTTCACCCCTTCTGTATGTCAGCAGGATGAACATGGTAACATGCCTGGGTTTCACCTGTGACTTCCTCAGGCTCTGCAACACTCCACCCTAACAGGAGCAGCCCTGTGCTTTCCATCTTTCTTTTCAAGAACAGAAAAATTCGGGCTGGGGATTTAGCTCGGCGGCATAAGCGCCTGTGAGTTTGATCCCTGGTACCGATAAAAAAAAAAAAAAAAAAAGAACAGAAAAATGCTTCTCTCAAACAATACACAGCTAGGCAAGTATAGCCAAAAGACTGTCCCCAGCGTCAACCAAGGCCATTCCTGTTGTGTCCCTAAAACCTCTTCTGGAGAGCACTCCTCCCTTTTAAAACTCTTTTAGGCAAGCGTATGTTTCTAGAAGTTTTTCTTGGGAAATAACAGCAGCATGGATGCCCAAAAGAAAACAATGACAAATACAGGCAGCATTAAAGCCTTGTGAGTTCTCCAACCTAAGGAAACCAAACCCTATTGTTCCGATTCCTCAGGAGTGGTTGTAAAAATATGCACTAGCCAGGAGAGGGCAGCAGCGAGCCAGAGACTGCTGGCACTCAGCTCCAAGGCTCTCTGCTAAGAGCTGTGCATCTCAGACCCAGGGAGGCTGGAGTCTGAGACAGCTGCAGCGGCTGCTACACACATCCTCTCTCACACACAATGTGTATACACACACGCCACCCACAGAGCAGGAATGACCACTGGTGGCGTCTCCCTCAGGTTCAGTGGGTAGGGGTAGAGGGGGTTATTATCTCCTCTCCAGGACACACACAGCACATTGAATCAAACTCATCTTCTGAAAAAAAACCCACATTCAAAGAGACTGACTTAGTGAAGTCACACCTGGAGCTGGAGGCAAACAGGAACCTGGATCAGGCTCTCTTGCCCCTCACACCACCATGAAAGCGGAGGAGACCTGGGTCCCCTTCCTGGCTCCCAGCAGTCCTGTTGGTACGCCCTGACTTAGAGGTTGGCTTGTTGCTCTGTGAGATGGGAAAGAGCCAGTCCTCACGCAAACTGACGCCTCAGTTCCTTTCACGAGGGCTGTGGTACCCTTGGCCTCCCCTTGCCGAGAGGCCTGTGAGGCCTGGTGACCTACACAGATGGGGTCAGGGCTCTAGTGAGTAGTGTTCACAGGACTCACGCAGTGGTTGCTTCCCAGGTTAGCTTCTGAGTTGGTTCCCTTGTTTGTCAAGTTCAAGACGAGCAGCTTGTCGATCGGCTCCTTGAGAGAATCACAACGTACCTGGAAGAAGCCACAGCATAGAGGCTCATGCAAGCTGGAGGGTCTTGGACTCTCCCCTGGGTGGGTGACACAGAAATGAAGAATTTGTGACAAGCTGGGGGCCACTTCAGACCAGGTATGTCCTTGGTGACCCAGTTGTCTAAGCAGCTTTAGAAGAGAGGGGGACAGACAGGAGAGTGACAAACAAATGGACAAAATCTCTTCACGGCCCAGGAGGAAACCCGAGTTGGAGCGTGGAGGGATGACAGAAATACTTTTCTTTAAATCCGGGCTCTTTTTTTCATCCTACCCATCACGGAATTACCGTCTTATTCCCAAAAACCCGGTGCGTAGTGTGTATGCTGGGAGTTGAGGGAGCTAAAACAGTGCTGAGGCTTGTGGATCCCCTGACGCTGGGCACAGCCACAGTTCCCGTGGCAGAGTCCTTCTGCTGTGGCGTCACAGTGGAAGAGTGTGAAGAGCTGGGAGGCATCAGGCTGTCCGGCGTGGGGCTGGCCGTGGCCGGCACCTGGCTGGCTGGCTGTGTGCTGGCGGTCTGCTGAGTCCTGGTTGGTGCTGTAATGGGGGAAGCAGAGGCTGTGAGAAAAGAGAGTCAAACTCCGCAGACGATGGGACAGTCTTTTTGGCTTTAGAACTCCTGCAAGCTGGAGCCACCAAGCAGGCCGTGAGGATGAAGGCACAAAAGTAATGAAATAGGGACCATACCACTTTACAGGACAGAGCAAACTAGATGAGCTAGACTAAGAACAAAACCAAACCAAAAAAGTCACAACAGTGGTATCCCTGGACACAGCTAACATTTACCAAGCACAATATGTGGTGTCAAGGGTGCTTTCTAAAGAAAGGGGCCATCGTTATACCCATTTTACAAACAGGGGGACCGAGGCTTAGAGGGACTTGATGATTTGCCTGAGGTCAGGTGCCAATCCCGTTGGCAGAGGAGGATTTGAATTCAGACTCGTCCACCTCAGAGACCTGCTTTCCCTGCAGGACATGACCACTGTCTCCCGCTGTGGCAGGCTGTGAGCTCTTTCAGGATGTCACATGAGCTTCTGGAAATGCAGAGTCTCACACTTATACCCAAAATTCTGGTTCAGCAGATCCTGAAATGGGTCAGGATTTTGAGATTCACAATCCATCTGTAGAATCTGAATTTAATTTACTAGACTAAGACCAGCACTTCAAAAAATAGTAAAAGGAAATGGAACAGAAAAGAAAATATCAGAACGTATAACATACAGTGAGTCCCTAGTTCATCAAACTTTACTTCACTGATGCATATTATATGTGTGTTTTGGATTATAACACAACATTCATGTTTCTGTGCTTCTTATGGTGTACTGCCATCAAACAGGTCTGAGAAACGCTGTTCTAGAACCTTCTAATACCCTACCTCCATCACCATGCAGTCTTGCCTGTGGCTAAGACCGCTGACTTGATTATGTGCTCGCCTGGGCAGGATGAAACATGGAACTCTCATCAGCATATGTGCACTGCTGGCCTCTGCTCAACCCTGAAATAGCAAACCAGGTCTGAACGGAGATGAATGAAGGATACCAGATGTTTCACTGTCATCTAACCTGCATTTTTAGTGGATCAGATGATTGAGTGGGGTAAGGGAAGCCCTGAAGAGTTTCTTCTTGCTTGGAAAAGCAAAAATAAAAACAAAACCACCAAGATCGTACTTACTTGGAGTGGTGAGCACACTCTGGGCTGTGGTTGTGAGACTAGAATCAGGCAGAGGGCTGGGACTGCTGGGAAGTGTGGCAGAGCTGCTCTGTCTTTGAGAAGAGATCCCTGAGGTCACGGTAGTAGTGTCAGCTGGTGGGTTAGAACTTCCTGTACTGAGCAGTGAAGGAGTAGGAGCGGAAGTTGTGGTCTTCAGGGTTGGAGCTTGAGATCCAGAGGCTGTAGGTTGGCTTTCAGAAGTGGACAGCGATCGTGTGGTAGTCAGGTTGTCTGTGTTGCTTATGCTCCCAGGCCTGGCACTGGTGGCCGCAGTGGTGGAACTGTCAGGGCTCCCACCATGTGGGCTCACAGTAGCTGGAGCACTTGTGGTACTTGAGTCAGAAGATACAGTCACAGAGATGTTTTGCAGAGCTGAGTCTTTAGAAGTTGTAAAGTTGCTTCCCACAGCTTGGTCCGTCTTTGTGATGCTTGAGGGCTGTACTGTGGAAGCCACTTTGGAAGTAGTGGGAACTGAACGTGAGCTTGGCTGATGTGAGGATGTAGGAGATGCCCCAGGTTTTGTAGATGCCCGTGCTGAGGCAGCTGGGCTGCCAGAGGAAGCTGCTGGTGCAAAGATGACACAAGGCCAAGTCAGGCTACCACCAGGCAGAGTTTCTCTCCAGTTTGTTCCCACTCCCATCTCTAAGTTTGCCTTGCTGAAGGCCTGGGCCCCCCTGTACCCTGAACTTTCTGGAATTCCAGCCCCTCCGGGAGGGAGGCTAAGAGGGACACAGGGGAGGGAAGTTCCACAGAAAAGGAGGGCAAGGCCAGCTGAAGTGGCCACATGGAGTCTGCAGGGGTCCCTGCCCTGTCTGCCTACCCACATGCAGCCCCTCAAGTCTGTCCATAGCTCCCCATCTCTGCAGTGCCTAAGGCAAGGCACCACAGAGACCCACGGGCTGCTGCTTGCTGAGCTGGCCTGGCCCGTCACCTTTCCCAGGGAAGTTATAAGCAGCAAGAGACACTGTGATAAACTGAAGTCACATGAACGACAGTTTCAGTGCCATTGCTGTGCTACTGGGACAAGGACACAGTGTTGCTGGGCTCTGTGCAGCATGATAGCTTTCTCTGGGGGGAGAAGCCTGGGAAGGAAGGACTTTTATTGATTTACCAGATTTAGCGAGAGCACTTTTGTATGACAAGTCTTTTATGTTGGACCCTGCAGAGACAATGGTGGAAGACACAGAACAACTACTGCAGGTTTTGGTGACTACAGGGAGAAAGTGAACTAGGAAATGACACAGAGGGCAGGTAATTAGAGGGAAGGAAAAATGGCCCTGCAATGACTGGTAAGCTAAGGCCAGAGGAAGACAAGCAAATGCCACAGGGTGGGCAGACAGTCCCCTGACAGAGGGAACACCAATATAGGAACAGGGGCCAGGAAGATACACGTGCATGGAAAGCAGCCACAAAAGGAAAGAATGGCCCAGAAATGCAGGAACTCACATGTAGGAAACTTCTGGTTCAAACCAAACTTTTTTGAAAGTTTCAGAAGGACTCTCTTAAAAATCATATGCAACAGCCAAACCAAGTGGTACATTCCTGTAAACCCCAGTACTTGGGAGTCTAAAGCAGGAGGACTGCAAGTTTGAGCCCAGTCTGGATAACTCAGCAACTTAACACGTTAGCAAGACCCCTGTTTCAAAATAAAAAATAAAAAGGACAAGGGCTGTAGCTCACTACAAAGGCCCTGAGTTCACAGAGGCCTCCAGTACCACCAAAAAAATTTTAAAAAATCGTATGTAAGCCAGGTTCAATGGTGTATACCTCTATCCTCAGCACTCAGGAGGTCAGCACAAGGGTATCACAGATTCAAGCCCACCCTGGGCAACTGAGTGAGTTCAAGGTCAGTCTGGACTACATAACAAAAGCCTGTCTCACAAAAACAAACAAACATATCCTAGGTAAAATGAAACATTAAGTTCAGAGACTTAATAAGGATTTTAAATTTTATTCTAGCCGTAAACAGAAGTCACCGATAAAGCTCAAGAAAGGAAGTAGTGTAGGCTGAGAAACACAGGTTTGCTTGCTGCTTTGGGGTTCCTGAAGGTCAGAGGGAGAAAATCTGCAAGTGGGAAGACAAGCCCTGAGCAGTCTCCCCAGAACTCATGGAAATAGGCCAGGCATGGTAATGGAAGGCTGAGGCAAGGGAAGGTCTGCTGTGAGTTCAGAGCTAGCCTGGACCACATACTGAGTCCTGGCCAGGCCACTCTGGACTACATAGCAAAACCTTATGCTGAAAAAAGGTCAGAGATGACTGAGCAGTGGCCACCTGTGGGCCACTATGGATATGGGGATGAATGGAGGATGGAGTCAGGGTATCAACTGCTTCCTTATGCAACAAGTGGAGGGAAAGAGAGTCTGGCAGTTTGGATTCCTGGTTTCCCACCAAGAGCAGAAGGGAGGCCATGGTGAGACAGGATGTTGCCACCTCAAGGCCACTCTCTGTGGCCAGCTGGCATCTATACGCTTCTGTCTGGGCAAATTTTCACCCCAGGAGACTGACGGCGGTGGCAGAAACTGTCCTTAACTGGCACTGAACGTGCCAGCCTTCCCCATGGCAAGCACAAGCACCCTGCGCTGGGTACACTCCTGCCAGCTAGGGCGGGAAGAGACTGACAGTGGACAGTGAGGAACACATTAGTGCGGGCAGTGTCCCAATGTCTAACACAAGGAATTCTCTTATTAAGAAGCACAAACGTATCAAGCAGTTGTGGTTAGCAGAGTTTCCAGGATTACTGAGGAGGATCCATTGGAGCCAAAGGCAGTCAAAACTATTTAGGGGCTGGGGATTTAGCTCAGCGTCATAAGCACCTGCCTTGCAAGCAGGCGGTTGTGAGTTTGATCCCTGGTACCAATAAAAAGATAAAAAAATTAAAACAAAAACAACTCTATTTAGGGAACAGGATTCTAGTACCTAGCTATAGTTTGCCAGGGTCCTCCTGCCCCCTTTTTTGCTGTTTGTTTGTTTTGCAGCAACAAGGTATTGGATCCATGGCCTTCACACCAAGATACTTCCCCAGCTCTTTTTATTTCGACACACAGTCTCACTAAGTTGCCAAGGTTGGGTTTGAATTCCTGATCCTCCTGCCTCAGCAGCCCCAGAGCACTGGGATTATAGATGTGCTACCACCCCAGCTGGATTTTCCCTTCTCTAGGTCATAAAGTAACTCTTTTTCTTCCTCTTCCTCTTCTTCTTCTTCTTCTTTTTTTTTTTTTTTTTTTTTTTTTTTTTGTACCAGGGATCAAATTCATGACCCTGTGCCTGCCTGGCAAGTGCTTATGCTACTAAATTCCCAGCCCTAATGGTGCCTCTTATAATTGATAGCCACATGGTGTCCCGTCAAGAGGTACTAGATTGCTAAGGGAGGTGAGACATCAACATGGCTGGGGAATTAGGGAATTTAAGAGATGAAGATTGGGATAGGTACTTTTTACTGTGGTGATGAGCTGAAGTCAGTGTTTTCTCCACTCAAACTACTGACATTTTGGAATAGAGTCATCGTCTCAGTTGCAGGAAGTTATCATATACATTATAAGACATTTTGCAATATCTCTTGCCTCTGTCCATTATATACAAGTAACATACACATAGTCTTTGTTAGCTGGGATAACTAAAAATGTCTCCAACTACTTACTACCCAAAGTTCCCTCAGGAAGATGAGTCACTACTCAATAAAACTACTGGCTTAAACAAAGAACGACGGAAACAGCCAGGCACGATGGTGCACACCTGCACCGTCAGCCTCTTGGCAGGCTGAGGCAGCAGGATCCAAGCATGAACCCAGTTAGGAAAACTTTACAAGACGCTGTATCAAAATCAAATATTTTATTTTAAAAAATATAAAAAGGGCTGAGGATGTCACTCAGTGGTAGAGCACCCCAGGATTCAGTCCTCAGTAAGGGAGAGACAGAGAGACCTTAAATTCCTAAACCCTCTGATCTAAGCACAGAATGAAAACCAGAGTCTTTCTAAGACCACACTAAAGGGATCTCTCATTCGTAGCAGAAGGGCTGAGAAAGCCAAAAGCTGGGTCTCACAATCGCCACATTACAGTGCTGACAACGCATAGCCTCACCATGCCTCTGATGTAGAAATGGGACCCTGAGAATATGATGGTGATTCAGGAGAATGCAGGTAAATGAGACCACCATAAATCCCCAGCTCCGGTGGAATTCACTTCACCTGCCGCAGACCCCACTGCTGTTCTGTCTGATGAAGCTCTGCCGACCTCGCTCAAGACTCAGGATCCCCCCTGCCCCAAGTCACTGCAACAGGCACCAGAGCTCCTCAGTATTCCTACCATTCTTCATTTTCTTCACAGACCCCAGTATGTCCCAGCGGTACAGAAACACAGTCTGACCGAAGAAAATGCTTGTGTGCTAAAAATACTTACAAAATATCTAGCAAATATGTATAAGGACACTAGCTCAAGGAAGGATCCTTTCTATATCAGACTGGATCTGCCAATGTGAGAACACACATCACAGATTTTACATTCAAAGTGCGGGTTCATGCAGCTAGGAACATTCTGATTGCTTTCGTAGTTAGATGACTACAGCCTGAACTCAGTGGCAGCCCACATGAAACAGCTGAAGCGATGGTGCCAGCACACAGATTCACATTCTGGAAGCTCAGTCTCCAATGTGACAGTGTGGAGAGCTGGGAGGAGCTTTTTAGAGGCAGGGGCTGATGGGAGGTGTCTGCATCTTGAACACCCTCAGGAGTTGGTTAGTATCCCAGGAGTGGATGAGGTCCCATGAGGGCAAGCTATTGTCACAGAAGAACCGGCCCCCTCTATCCTCCTAATTCCCTTCTTACCACCTGAGCGCTCTCTACCATGTGTGCCTGCCACATGCTACCACCTTCCAACAGACCTTCATGGAGAACTAGCCCCAAGCTGTTTGGCTTTCTTAAGCTACCAGAACCAAATTGACTTTTTTTCTTCATAGTCGGCCTCTGGTATTTTATTACACAGAAAAAAAATGGGCTAGGACAGTAGAGTTGCCAAAAATTCTCTGGAATAATGTGTAAGAAGAAATCCTAAGTACTGGAGCAAGACAAACATGAAATGTTTGTGTTACATGACCTGCTCACTATACTCTAACTTTGCCCCTGAGAAAGCTCAAATGTCACACCCTTCACAAGGCTTTCAAAAATAGAGTATTTCTTGGGTTCTAGGATATACATCTGGCACGTCCTTGACATGAGGATATATTTTAAATGACTACAGGTGATGTTAAACAGCAGTTTGGATTTTTTTCTAAATGATGGATAAAATAACAGCACATCTTAGAACTGAGTGTCCTGGACGTTACTGTCCATGGGATGCTGGAGCGCTGTTCAGGTACTGTGAGAGCTCTGCTGTGCCTTTTCCTCACTGGTCACGTATGTTAGGAGGAAATGCTTTTGATTCTACTGAGGTGTGGAAACCAACTTCATGGGTGGTAGAGGCAAGATTAGAATTGACTTTCCAGGAAAAAGAGGTGTATGAATACCCAAGGGGCAGCCACTCCGGCACTGCGACGGGAACAGTCCTCCAAAGGGTATTTTGAACAGTGGC